GGGTTTAGGGCTTTAAGGTTTTAGGGATTCTAGGGTTGCAATCCTCTGTCACGCGCGTTCCCCAATATGCCAAGCTGCTGTGCGAAACCCTGCTTCAGACAAGCGTATGAGCACTCGCCAATGGTCTGTGAAACCTTATCAAGCTTTTGCAAGAACCTCCATAATGACCACAGCATCCCACAACATCCTTGCAACAACCTATCAACCACCCTGCAGCACCCCCTAAACCCCTAAATCCAAAGCAAAATGAAGCTGGAGCCTCTCAACCACATAGGCTCAATCCAATCGAACCCCACATAATTGAAGCCGCAGACAAGCCCCAAAAACCCTAAAAACCCGCAGACGCCTCCTTGAGCTCTGCGAAGTAGTCCTGCATGCACAGCACTCAACAAGTGCAAACGCGCCTTAAGGGATCCTTCCAGGGTTTAGGGTGTAGGGCGAAACCCTTATACATTCCCATAAAGCCCTTATAGCACTCCCAGAAGCTTAAAGTTAGGGTTTCACATTTTGTCCAAGGAACTCCTGGACATGTTGCGCTACTCTTACGGATTTGGACTTGGAGAAAGCTCCAGGACTTGAAACCTCTGGTTTGGGACTCAGGCTCAGGACAATATAGCCATGTAACTATTATTATACTCATATAACGGTATAAGATAAAATGTAGAAATTCAGGCACCGAGACGAATTCAGCTACCTATAACCCTTGACTACTGAATATAGCATTGGCACCATTCGCGGACATTGCAACTTACCACGCATTCAGGGTCCTTGATGAAGCTGGCAAGATGTGGGGCTTTAAGGTTTGGGCAACTCAGGCGCTAGAGCCTCAAGCCCCTCCAGTTCGAATCCCAAGACTGGTTTCAAATTAACTAGAAAGCGAGCTACTGTGATCAGAGGGCAGCGAGATCTTCCCAACCATGCCTGGTACAATGTATGCTAGAAGATCAACACTAGAGTCGACCGCACACCCTTGCAACCCAAAGGGTCTAGGCCTAAACCCTAAACCCCTAACCCCTAACCCCAAACCCCAAACCCCTAAACCCTGAACCCTTGCCACACTCCTTCACACCGTCACCATCGAGCTCCCACATGGAGAATCCCAGGCGAAACCTGGCATCGTATAGCTGAATGAGGGCTCTGTACGGCTTCCATATAAGGGTTTAAGGTTTAGGGTTTAGGGTTTAGGGGGTTCTGTACGGCTTCCATATAAGGGTTCTACAAGGCTCTGTCAGGCTTCTACAAAAACCCTATGTAGGGTTTAGGGCTAAAGTTTAGGGTTTAGGGTTTGAGCTTTGGAACTTTCAGAGAATAGAACAGGACCCTAACTTTGACCAACTGTAAGAGGCCCAAGTAGAAAGCTTTTGGAGGGGTCTTGAAGTCTCCCTGTCCAAGTATTTAGGGACCGTGGGGGTTCAGGGGTTCAGGGTCTACTTTCCAAATTATGAGTCTAATGTAGGGGCCTTACATAATAGTTAGAATAAGGTTTTGGGGGTATAGTATACTATAATTATAAGAAGGACCCCCACCCCCCCAAAAAAAAAATATATATATATATATAGTATATGTAATTCTTAGGGCCCCTATATTAGGGTTCAGACCTCATGGCTCGGATTCTGATGCCCTCAGCGAAAAGCCGAAACACTCGCTATTAAGTTCAAGGTTTAGGGTTTAGGATTTAAGGTTTCGGAGTTTAGGGTTTAGGGGTTTAGGGTTTAGGGGTTCAAGGGTTTAGGGGTTGAGGGTTTAGGGGTTGAGGGGTTTAGGGTTTAGGGGTCTCTGAACGGGACCTTCGGGGTGCGGCCGCCATAAAGTTTCAGGGCTTGGGGTTTCATTACATCGGGCCGGATTTATTGGTGAGAGCAGGGCTTTGGAGTATCTTGAAGTATGATTACGCAGGGCCTTGGAGGGAAGATGCTGAGATGTTTTCGAAACCCTAAGGGTCCAAGTAGTCCTTATTTATGGCTTTAGGTACCCAAAACGGCCCCAAAGTCCTTAAATAATGGGCACTTGGACCCTTAGGGAAACCTTTACTCCAGGCTTCGTGGAGTCATTGGCATCAGCGCTTGTTGCTCAGTGCTCAGGGACCTGATGAACAAGACAACGGGCCAGGGCCGAGTAGAAAAGGTTGTTATTGATTGGAACACACTCCTTGGTGAAACTTAAAGCAAGAGGCGAATACAGTATATTGCTATGAAGAGTTATTTTTGTTCCTATGACCTGCATGGAACACTTAATGCAAGGTTCGGTTTTGGGCTCCGGGTTCAGGTATAAAGATTACTATAGAAGCACGCCCGGAATTTATAGCCTGGCCTGGTACAGAAAGACGGCGCCCAGCCGCAAGCCCTGAACTCCAAACCGTATAACATCCCTGCACCTTACTTGGAGGTTCATGGCTAGTTATAAGTGGAGTTAGAAGTCCCCTAATACAGGTTATAACTATAGTTACCCTACTTATAAGCCCACTTATAACTACCCATGAACCTCCAAGTAAGAACACGGAAACCCTAAACCCTAAACCCTAAACCCTAAACTGAACACCAAGCGCGGAACCTCCCGGCCTGGAACAAATGACAACTGAAGGCCAAAGGGTAAGAATTCGAAACACGGTTTAGGGTTTTAGGGTTTTAG